CCACATACTGGTCTGGCATGTATACTACATCGTTTTGATTCGGTTTTGTGGTTTCGTGTGGATGCAGATATTTCTTGAGACGAGGGGAAAAAAAAGATCGGATAGGGAAAGCTCTGGCTTCGTGTGGACGTAGCCTAAGTGAAGTACATATGTTTAGAATGACCTACTGCTTTTGCACAAATGTTTAGTATAGAATACAAAGTGATTGTGACAAATTATCTTGAAGTATTTAGTGACTTATTGTTTGATACAACTACCAAAAGTTAAGACATTTGTACACAAAACTGGATGACTAAAAGTGAAATCAGCTTGATAAACACAAAAAATCCTTAAAGAAATAGCTCAGATAACGACAGTAGATTTGATTTGATTCATTTTAATTATGCCCTGCTTATCTTTCATTTCTCCCATAGGTTTGCTGAGTCACGATGACCCTGTGGAAACAAAACCTAACAGTTCCTACAAACCCTCTAATTGGTTCTCTGGCACACCTGATGATCAAGAGAGGTGAGAATTTGTCAGCCCATAAGGTGTTGTTATGAACAGAAATAATAAACGAAGCCAAATGCTTCGGAAATACATCATTCTGATCAAAAGAATCATCCTAGACAGATTATAAGAGATCATCTCAGTTTATTACAAATTATTTGGCTGGAGAAAGATGCTATGAATGTGTCAATTACTTCTGGTATTTAAAGGAATTCAGGCCATCCAAGTTGTAGACGAGTTTGTTTATTCATCAGAACAGATTTAGCATTATATCACTTGTTCAACCAATGGATCCACTACAATGAATGGGTGCCGTCAGAATAAGAGTTCAAACAGCTGATAAAAACATCACAATAATCCGTTAGTAATCCACTTGCCTCCAGTCCATCAATTAATGTATTGTGAAAAAAGCTGCATGTTTATAATAAAGAAATTAATAATTCAGATGTTTTTAACTTCAAACTGAGTCCCCTATCAATTAATATTGCTATCTCCAGTGAAAAAGTTGTCTCGTCTAAATCAGGAGAGAAATATGCACAGATCATGCAGATCAGTTTACAAGTGAAAACTAGGGATGCACCGGGCCCGATACTGAGCTCCTGTACTCGTACTCGTACTCGTTAAAATGCCCCGATACCAAACGCCAATACCACACAGCATGTGATAAGTGCCATATTCAGACAAAGAAACACTGACAACAGAACAACAGACAGCAGAATGGAGTTAAGGATGTCTACTACGAAGTATATGTATGCAATGAATATAACGTTAAACATTCAGTATTAATGCCTGTATAGCTGATGTGTGCGAGCTGATAAGCAAAGCACGCTGAGTGGATTGAGCGCGCAGCGGCGCAGATGTGTGAGCTTGTCGAGTGAATATACCTTTCTCACAGACATCACTGAAAAGTTTGTAGTTCGGTCGGATATGTAAACAACAAGTAAGTAAAACAATGCACAAGTTACTTAACAGTAGAGAGAGAGAGAGCGCGCACTTCTGTTGTGTGATCTTTGATGTTCACTCACTTAGCACACGCATCATTT